CNNGTGGNCAAAAAAAAAAAGTGTGGAAAAAAATCAAAAACTAGTATTCACTGAATACGTTTTCTTTACAAATTTCATTGAAAAACGTATTCTCAATGAAAAACGTATGTTGAAAATACGTTTTTCAAGGATAATTACATGAAAAAACGTATTCAGAGAATACGTGCTTTTGATTTTTTTCCACACCTTTTTTTTTTGTTTTGTTTTTGTTCAGTTAACTTAAATTTTTTTTTTTGGGTAAAAAACGTAGTATAAAAGCCGATAAAAAAAAATGACACAAATAAGACAAAAAAAACAATTGACACTATATATAAATTCTAATTTTTATAAATAATTCAAAATGAAATCTTCGAAGGATATCTTTAATATTTTATAAATTTCAGTATTATTACTAACTATTTGAAATGTATTATTATCAATACCAAAATATTCATTTACTCACTGCAGACACGTTATATCTTATATATTCCAATGTCTCATGATTTTTCAGTACATAATTTTCATACAATGTAAGTTGATCTTCTATAATATTTATAAGTGCAATATTAAATTGTACTCGACGTGGATAAGAGAACGGTAATATTTCTCAATATGTTGGATCATATAATTTTTTATAATCCCATTTCTTAGTTGAATTTCTTGTTGACACGAATTTCATTGCCAATAATTCTCTAACATAACAACTATTATAGTAGCATACAAAGTCATGATAGATTTATTTAAAGATACAAAAGTTAAATAAGGCATTGTAATAAGAAAACTTTAATATAAGAGAACAAGAAAAAAAACAACTAATTAATAAATAATTTTATTTACAGATTTATTTTTGTAGAATTACCCAATTCATATTTATTTTCGTGAAATATGTATTGTAAAAAAATTATATTATAAAAAAATGTAAATTTCAAGTGCCCTGCAACCATTCTCTTTCAATATATAAATACATACTTTCGCACACAAATGTTTCATACTTTAAAATACTATATAAATTAAAGTACATCATTTTATAATAGAAATACGTATTTTTCATTTATGCTACATTTGTTTATTCTTAAATCTTCCATTGTTATTGGTTGCCTAAGAAACTATTTTTTTTTTAAGTGGAGAATTATTACGTATTTTCTATTTATGCTACTTTCGTTTATTCTTAATCTTACATTGCTATTGGTTGCCTAAGAAAACCTTTTTTTATTTAAGTAGAGATTTATTTAAAGAGGTAGACTATTAATTTAGGTTTCTCAATTGGCTTAACTAAAACACAAACTTGTCTCGATGAAGGTTATTCATATCTACTACGTGTTGCCTGTTTGAGAAAAATAAAATATAATAGACTATTTTTAAATGTGTTCCATATCCAGGTATCGAGTTTAAATTTCGTTTTAATCTACTTACACAGACTATTTATATGTACACGTGGTTTTTCATCATAAATAGTAATTTCAAAATAAATTACCATACTTTGTTATGTATAAATAGTAATTTCAGAAAATCAAATTATGAATGTTATGTATAACGAATAATGTATGATTTTTCATACTTTGTATTTAACTTATTGTCATAAGCAAATGATTAATTTTCAAGGAAAAATATTTAAAGCAAAGTTTTAAAAAAAGTTTCGAGGACGAAACCCCAACAGTGCAGCGCACAGGGTGCTCACGAGTAGTATGAAATAAATGAGAAACAAGATATGGTGAACGGAATAGAGAATATCAAATTAAAAGAGTTATTCAAGTTCAAAGTAGGAGAAAAATAGAGAGCTGGATAGAAACATATATATATTTTTTTTAACTATTCAAGAAGTAAACGATTGAATAAATTATAACAATTGCCAAAAGAAATATAAAAATTTAGGAAAAGACTACAGTCCCGTTACGGAACCATTCCGTCGAGGTTTTTAACCGTAGACTATTTATCATATATTAATCTACATGTGTATTTAATGGTTAAAAACCCCAATTGGAATAGTTCCGTAATGGAATTGTAATCTGTTCCAAAAATTTATAACGATGCTTAAAATGACAACATTCAAGTAGTCAATATTATTTTAACTCTCGTTATTTGGTTTTCTTAAAAATTATTGCCCCATCCAAGCCTAATTACAAAAAATATAATTGTCATATATGATCCACTAAAATTATTGCCCTAATTACAAAACATGTCATTCGGCCACATAAGATTCAGAAACATGTTGCGCTCAGCACATTTGGAATTATACAGGGGGAGGATTTGTTAATTACTTGTATAGCCGATATGTTACATGGGCATCTTGCCACACACAGTCTGAGAGCAGAAAATGAAAAATGAAACAGAACATGAGCAAGGAATTTGAACTGAAACTTTCAATAAAATATTCTGAAAAAACAAAATACAAATTCTATCACTCCCAGCATTTCACAATAATTCAGAACTTATTTTTATCTGAAAATTCAATTGGTTACCCTTTCAGGCCACTTTCATCTACATGCTGAGATATCCATAAAATCACACAAAAAAGCCAGTGAAGTTTAGACACAACGTACATGACGGTCGTTAACCATCAACATCATGAGCGTACGCTGGCATCACTTCTTTTGCAGATAGTTGTGATATAGCTTCTCCCATAAACCCTACTATACTAAAAACAAACTCTTCAAAGTCTTGAAATGGGAAGATTTTGGTCGGCCACAGGCCCCTTTGCACAAAACAACAGGTTTTGTTACGACCCACAAAAGTAGGTTGTAAGCAAAACCACTTTCTACTTGGATTTCTTCTGGTCAGAAACCCTAGAACCCATGATTTTGACCACAACTTCATCTTTTGATATTAGTAGCTTAAGCGCTGGATGAACGTTCAAATTCCCAGCAATAATCTTCTCGCCAACATCAAGCTCGCTTAAATCCACATCAATGTAGGGTGGGATGACATCTGCTGGGCAGAGATATTGAACAGTTCTCTTGATGATGTTCAAAGATGACCCTGCACAAGCACCAAAATCATTTGCATTGGTACAATTTATTTTTGGTTTTACTTTCAAAAACAAAATCATGAGAATGACCGAAAACAAAAGGCGTAGTATCAGTTACTAAGACAGTCCCCTAAAACTAAATCTTAATGATTGAATCCATATGCATTGGCATTCTCTAATCTCTATGCCCCGCAAGACTTAATCCAGCATTACCATTCTTTTTTGTAATTTTGAGAATTCTGTATATTTCATGATAATGGAAGTGATAAAAGGCCCCCTCGTTATGTGCACAACTGAGAGTAATTGAATAATAAAATCCTTTAGAGTAGGGTATAATTATTTTTCTATCTTAAAATCTCTACTTAATGTGTATAAATATACATTAATATGTTCCAAGGTTGTTACTCAATAAGAAGCTCAACTTTCTTATCTGAGATAGCATATGGCCCTATATACCTATCTTACACGACACAGCAAAAAACTAAAATGTCATTACAGGGGAGAGCTCTCACCTTTCTAACTGGAGGCCTATACCAAAAGGTGTACATGAGCAGACCCGCGCTCGAGTATCAGGAGCTCAAGCCTTTATCAAGCATAGCCGAGCTCGGCTTGTTAACAAAACGAGTTCATAAAAGAGTCGAGCTCATTTATCAATATTAATGAGCCGAGTTTGAGCCTTAACGAGCCAGACTATAGAAAATTACATAAAAATCCTTATTTCAGGCCTAAAAAGGACGAGCTAAGCTCAGGAAATAACTATAAACGAGCCAAACTCGAACCTTAACAAGCGGAGCGGCTCGTTTCGTTTAACAACTCTACCCATACCCATATTTACACGACACAACAAAACACTAAAACGTTATCACAGAGACAAGCATCACCCAATGCTGTCATTGGCGGATGGCATAAAATGGCGGCAGCCTGAAATCCCTCCATAGGCACCAACCATGGTAGTCTGTGGCACCACCATAACCCCCCTCCTTTACAAACTTGGTTTGGCGGAAATCTGCCACGCAATACTGACTTGGCCTCTATTTGCTAAAACTAATTTCACCAAACCTTAAACTACAAATCTTAGACAAATAAAGTTACGTTCATTTTTTGTTATCGTACTTGCTAATAGACATAATTTACCATACATTGATATGAAATCCCAAAACCAGCAAAGGTGAATGAAAGCAGGAAAAGGTAAAAAATTATAATTTAAAAGTTTCTTCATTACCTTTCTTGAGTCCAGGGGAGACATCATCTCCTCTGTAGAGAAGAGGAACATCGACCTTTAACCAAGCATCTGATGGGGCTCTGATGAACGTGACATTAAGCACTGCATCAGTGCCTGCGTGAAGATGTAGCTGGCCAGGTGTCAAGAAAAGATTAGATCAGTATATGCTCCAGAACAAGTGGAAACTAAACATTTTACATAGGGTATGCTTGAAGCGAGATCATCTAGTATAACCACAATATACATGGTTAAGTTTGTTTTGTATGGTTGCACTTGCACTGAATCTTATTTAGAACTTGTAAATGAAAACATCCAAACACATTCACATGTATGCATATGCATACATAGCATTGACCATATAAAGACCTATGTGTGTGTATGTGTGCAAGGTCAGATAAACTTGTAATAAATTCTAGACCCGGGTGTAAAACATTGACATGTATGATGTATGAATTCCGCAGGTACGTATAGGTCAGACAGACTAGAAGCGAAAGATACAACATTTCCAGTTTTTTTAACCACGATATTCACATTCACATATCTTTCTTTCACATTCACTAACTCAGGGAAACACATTCGAGCATTTCCCCAAATCCTTTAGCCATTTCATGACCAGATGACCATACAAATATACTAGAACAGATAAAAAGTTGTAAAAGCAACATTCAGCAAAATTGACTCCAATCAAATTTCCCCCAATTTAAAACAGAAGCACGATTTTTTTCATCACTCGGAACCTAGAATTTCGATTTCTACCAATAAACGAAAAATTACGGGGAAGCACATACCTTCCGTGGCAAGACTCTTACTTTTTCGATTATATCATCCGACCCGAACTCGGGCCGGACCTCCAGATCAAAAAGCCTGGAGAGAAAGAAGGACCGACCCAAGTGATCCACAAGCTTCTTTATCTGATTGCTCTGTACGGAAATGAGGCGCTTGTTGCCGCCGTGCTGGCCATCTTCCGCCTCGAAGACGATACTTGGAACACGGCCCAAATTCCTCTCTTTGGCGGCTATGTTCTTGCCGGAGAGAGCGCGTGGGATCGCGTGGATGGTTTCGTCGTGCTTAGGGTCAGGCCTGGGCAATCCCTCCAGGTAGGTGAGCAGAATGGGGTTGTCCGCTTCCTGGAGGAGCGCGGCGGTGGAGAAGCGCCGGAAATGGTGATTGATGGCGGCGGTGGCCAGTGAAGCTGCCCGGCGGATCAGCATTTGGTGGCGGATTTACGGCTTGTGTACGCCGTACGCGTTCCTGCGAGGGGTTAAAGAGGGTTTGGGGGAGAACGGAAGCTGCAGCCTGGAGTGTGTTTGGGCTGGGGTGGGGTTTAGTTTGGGTTCTTAAATCAGGCCGAATGATTACAATTTTAAACATTATTTTTATTGGGCTGAGGTAAAGTTTGGTTTGCATTTTAATGTTGTAGATTAGGCCTAAAATGTAGAGGAATTTACACCCCATGCTATCCTATTTAATTTATATAAGACTTTTGTTACCTTTTTATTTTTATTTATAAAATAGCCTAAAAATCCACAAAATATTACAAATATATACTTGATATGGTGAGATTTACTTACCAAATAAATCGGTTGACTTAATTATCTCTCTCTCTCTCTAAAAACGCTCATGTTCACCATCTCTCGTTCTCATCCTCTTCCCTCTCTCTTTTTCTCTCTTCTCCAAAGCACCAGACTGTATATGACAACGCCCGTGCCCCTCTCTCCTCCGGTGACCGAACAAGAAAACTCATCGGAACCCTAATTTGAACCCTAAACTATCCAGTTGGAATCACCGGAGATCAGCGAAAATGGTGCTCGCGCAGTTAAGAGATACCATCACGCAAGTCGAGCTCCGACATATGCTCGTTTTGCCGAAATACCAGGCTGCAGGGGTGAGTTCAAGATCTGACACATGTTGTGTTGTGGTATATGTACAATGTATGTACAATATATGTCAATTATATATATATATATAATCGATTGTGATACATAATATATGTCCTCTTTTTTGGGTATATTTTTGCGTAAAAAAACAATAAATTCATGTACGTTTTATTGAACGTTAAAATCAATAAAAAAAGCATAGATAAATAATTGACCTGTCAACTTTTTTTGTGATATATTTGTGTAACTTTTCTTAAGAAAGAAAGATTGATCACGCCTTAATCGTTTGTGTTGTGTTTTGGTATATTTACAACATATTATTAGTATATGTACAGTATATGTTAAATATATATATATATAGTCGACTGTGATATATATACTACGATTTTGTAATTTCCCCCCAATTTTTGCTTCTCACGCGATGCTCGACCTGATCGTTTTCAGCACGTTCTTCTCTCCAATCGCCACCTCAAAATGGCCGACGCAAACCACCATCGCCAACGACGACCCCATCATCACATCCATCGTCGATCGGACAACGAAACTTCAGTCGAGGGAATCGGAGGTCGTGGAGGCGCGCGCCGGTGTTGAGGAGAAAGGAATCGGAGGCGGGGTGGGGGGCATCCATGGCGACAGAAAATAAAGATCGGACTGCAAGATTTTTTTTTTAAATTGAAACGAACGAGAATCACGCCCAAGAAAAGTCACAGATTTTAGTCATTAGTTTAATTTAATGTTATCTTTTAGGTACATACACAATTATTTATTTTTGATTGGGTTAAGGTTTGGTTTGGGTTCTTAATGCTGTAGATTAGGCTAAAAAAACACCACCTGACCAATTTTTTTAGTTGATTCATGCAAATCAGAGACGACCAGACATTACCTAGCGTCTAGGGGCTGCCTTAGTAAAATGATATTATTAATAATAAAACATTAAGAACTTAATTAATTTACAAATAAATAAATTTCTTTAATTTATTTTGCCTTACTATCAAGAATCTTCTAGAAAACTAACACTTTGTCAGACGATGTCAAACCAATATTATAATTTATAAGTTCCAATCGTACAACTGAGCCGAAATATCCACGAATGCACATATCATGTTCGCAAATATCTCATTTACGATTTTGGATTTATTAAACGAGCCAAGCATTTCACAAGCTTTAAACAAGTCGAACCGAACCCGAATCACACCCCAAAACATAAACTTATTCATTCACAAATACTAAAGTGTGAAGAAAAGAATACTAACTACAAGCTAAGATTCATTTTCGTTGGTGTTGGCCAACACATACATATACAAACAATCCACTATTAAATAGAAATAAGTACATTGACTACTGCAAAATACGTACACTTTTCACTATCATTTCTAGAAATTCTGTTTCTAGTCTAAAAAATCTTTACAAAACAGTGCAAATAACAGCAGCAAACTTGCAACCTATAAAAAAGGTTTGACATAATAAACTGTTACATGTGAATCTCATAGCCTATGTAAACTTTCTCTTGGTTCTTATCTCCTCTGTGTTCCAACATCCAAGGAATGAATCTCATGTTGCACATTTCCCTTTTTCTTCAGGGAAAGGATCAAACTGGCTTTGTCACTACAATATCCAATCCAGCCAATCCTCGAGACTTTCGAGGCACATACAACAAAAATAGTATAAGTTAACTGTTTCATTTCATCAAATCCAAGAACACGAAACCATTCCACAGGCTGTACAGCAGCATAGACGGTAAAAGGTTCCTCGACCGCGCGTAAATCACACCCATCACAACCCCGAGAAAAATCAACGGCACCATCCTCTGCACGTTAAAATGAGCCAAGGCAAATGCAAATGCACTTACCAAGATCGAGCACCACAAAGGCAAGTACTTGGTCAAAGAAGGCAAAAGAAAACCCCTGAACACGATTTCTTCCCACAAAGGACCACAAGCGCGTAAAGAGTTATAGCGACAGGATCACGTGCCATAATCGACTGCTCGACGCTAGAGAGGGCAACAGGCGTCGAGGGCAAAATGGGCAATATACCCAAGTTGAACTGCGAGAGGCGGTTGACAAACGGGAACAAGAAGCACCCAATTAAAATGTCAACCGGCCTTTCAGCCTGAACCTGAACCTGAACCAGTCGACTGGCAGAGGCCGGAATTGGGATAGGCAGCGGTGGAGGATTAATATTCCGGCGAGACCTTCGGTCACGTCTGTTAGAAGACTGAACAGAGCCTGGCCTCTGAACGTGAGGGATTACTTGCTGACATCAGCGATGTGGGCCCCAAAGGGGATCAACCAAGAACCCACGAACCAGAATGTGACAACCCAGAGGAGTGTGACCTGATGTCATTGTGATTTGAAGGCTAGGAGTTTAGATGATGCTTGGATACAAATTTATCCAAAAAAATCTAATTATTTTTAACCAATCACTCATTTTAACTCAAATCTAACTCAACTTTAACTCAACCTACTATCCTCAATATTTCAATATAATTAAATAATATCACTCAATCATTATTACACATAACATCAACATATTCAATTCATCAACTCACAAAATTTTAACTAACAATAATATCACCTCTCTCTTACTTTTACATCAAATCAACTTTAATTATTTCATTTTAAATATTATTTTATAACAATTCAAAAACCCACTAATAACTAACCATACCACTTGTTTATTTCACTTGAAAGCAGAATTCAGGGGGTGGTGAGTGGCTGATTTTCGTTAATTCATGATGAAATCTGTCTGTGTTGTTACAGAAGGAAGAGGAAGCAGCCATACCTGCAGGATGGTCTCTGCAGTCCATGGTACAGTCCACGGCTTTCCGATTGCTCTGAACAGTGCATTTGAAACCTAGAGAGAGAACAAATTCCATAAATAAGTGACTTGTGTGTTTGCAAATATGACTGCCTCTCATCACATGTCAAGGTCATTCTAATCATTTATCCATTGGCAATCAGAAGTAGAAATTTTAGGATCGTGAGATAAATGAATCATTTGCCTTCATATATAATTTTCTACAAATAGTTTATCCTTGACATGGCGGAAAATTATTCATATTTGGAAACAGAAGTTGATGCTGCCAAATGTTCAGTCATCAACAACAAATATCAGATAATCAATCACCCTCCACAATAATGAAATAAATCAAAAGAAAGCATTCTCACCATTCTAAGATTTGTTCTCCAATTACTCCTTCCGACAATTGGTTTAATGATTTCCACCTGTTCAGGCTCATGTAGAAGATCATCAGCAGACTCCGGAATTAGGTTGTCAGATGAGATATCCTCATGACGAAAACATGATATTTTCCACTTCTGAAAAAAAAACACTCAACATAGAAAATTTATATAAACTAAAAAGATCATAAAATAGAGACAACTAATACATGAACATAAGCAAATAATACCCATATAGATTCTCTCTTCGAGCAGCAAACGTAAAGCTTCAAAATTTCTTTTTTGCTGTTGTATGTTAGAGCAATCACTCATTTCCATCATATAAATTTCCTAAATGAAACTGATATAAAAGAAAACCAGCTCATATTTTAATCTTCATTTTAGATTTTTATGAAGTAATAAGACATCCGCGAAAAAGCATCGACCCTGTACTTCACATAGTATCGATGGCTGATGACTATTAACATAAAGGACTAAACTCGGATATCCCATTTGTACCTTAAAAGCTTCTACAAATACGCCGGCGAGCAAAAACCCTATAATTAGGGACGGGGAGAGAGATTGAAGACTGTAGAAATTCATTTTGCAGAGTCTGAATGGAAAGGAAATTCATTTTCTTTATGTCTTTTAACTTTAGAAAGAAGTATGAAAAAAGTTCAATAAATTACCCCTGGAGTCCTGGACTGAAAACATCACAAAATATTTGCATATATACTGATATAGTAATTTATTAGCAAATTTAAAACAACTACACATAGTAATTGCAGACCAACGAGATTTCTGCTATTTTTTTACACATTCATTTAAATACAAATATGGGACCTATTATATCAATTCATTCAATATAAATTTTAATATTCTATTCTCAATAAAAAGAAAAATTTAATATTTTTAAATTATAATGATAAATTTAAATGCATGAAAATAAAAGAACACTACAAGACCAAAATAACTTAAATTAAGATTATACAAGAATAATAGCAAAAAGAACTTAAATGAAATACAAGCTTGGTGTAGGAGAAGTGTAAAAATAAAGTGTATTTATAAGAAAAAAAATGAGGATAAAAGATATAAATAAAAAAAAACAAAAACAGCTGCAAAAAAAAATAAAATAATAAAAAAAAGCTCAAAAGAGCCGTTAACAAGGTATTACGGTAATAAAGACCCCACCCATTAATGAATGATTGCATTGATTGAATGGGGACCAAAGCATTTAATGGGGTGCATTAACAGACCAATGTGGATGCCCTTACAACTTCTCACCACTTTTTTATTCTTTATTATGTCAGAACTCAAAACTCATTCATGCCACACCTCCAAGCAATCTCTCTATTCGAATTCAATTTTTCTCTCCTCTTTCACGCCATAATTCTCTTCTTCTCAGAAACCAAGTTACAACTAATGGCGAAAATTAACCACCCCACTACTATCGGAGGTAGTCATCATCACGGTGAAAGAGAAGCCCCACAGTCGAGATCCAGCTCTCGCCTCCGCAACGTATAACCTAAATTCAACGCAAGCTTATCTAGAGAAAGATTCAATTCCAAAATAAACCGCGTAGCAGAGGTGGCCAAGAATCTGTTAGTGCAAATATCATCGGCGATGTCGATGAACCTCCCTCGGCAAAAAAGCGAACAAGGCAGAAGATAAATTCAACCACTTTCACCAAAAGAGAAGCCGAACAAGACTCGAATTTTGTTTAAGACGAAGCAATCGAAATGGACGAGCGCGGAATTGTTATATATCCAGTAAATTTTTCTGCAAGTGTTTTACAATTGGTCCAATCATCAATACTGGTGACATTACAATCACGAGGTTCATGACTCCTAAAAAAGAACCTTTTAATTGACCAGCAAATTCACATGTTATTGTTAATATTATAAAGTTGAGTTCCACCAGGTAGAAACGCTCGATTGTAAATTAGGTGTAAAATCTTGATCTGTACAATACTTTTCCCATTTTTACAATTTTTTAGGATGACGATGTAAGTAAGTAACGACCTCCCTAATGGACGTGACCGACTCTTAAAACATGATAATCCGCTTGGACCCAAAGATTAAAGACATGATATATACACCGAATATGAAAATTTTTCCACCACAAAGGGGACAAAAAAAATTTCTAAGTTCAAACAAGCAGTATTAGCACTAGCATTATTAAAAGAAATGTAAAAAAGTTTTTTTTTTTTTTTTAATAATTCTATATGTATTTAAGAGTGACTAGCAGCAGTGCGAAAATTATTAAATCTCGTATAAGTTTCTGTAAAGTAAAACTATCATATCTACTGACAAGTAATTCTCATATAATAATTATCTTCCCAACGATCGGACCAAATGTCACAACAAATAGAAATTTTTTGGTTTAGATTTTCAAAATTTTGCGCCAAAATTAATTTTTTCTTACCAATAATATTCTGAATATCGCGAATGAGAGTAGTACGTGGAACCCAAGCAGTCGGGTTTAAAGTCATTTTAGCAAAATTTTAATATAAATCAGAATCTCTAAAATCGGAAGGAAGAGACGAAGAATAAACAAATTCAACTAGATTACGTCTATGATTTTTATGAGAGTATTAAAATAAAGTAGAAAAAGAACTTGTTCTAGTTGCAGTTCCAATGCTACTCATCAAGATTTGTGTTTGGATTGTTGAAATCCCCATTTCGACCGAATGATGTGTTTGTATATGCTGTTGAATAGTTCCGTACCCATCGTCTGTTTTGAAAACGTACTTCTTGGTGTTGAGCGGATAGCGGTTGCATATAAAATGTTTGTCACTTTTTTTTTTCTCATTGGGCACCTTCTTGAAGCGCCTTGTGAATATGTCGGTTGTCAACTGTCGACCCTCGTCGGCGGCCATCTATTGAGGTTGTTGTTGACCTTTACCTTGAGAAGGATCAAATCGTCTTCATACGGCCGCTCTTTCTTCCTCGCTCTCCTCGAAGTGTAAGTCCAGTGGATTTCATCAATAGAGTGAAAGACATGTTGGACCATCTCGGGCTCAACGTTATCAAAAAGACTCGGAACGTCTTGGTATACCGTTGACGTTGGTAATGGAGGTCTACCACTAACACTCGTAGATGCACCTACATTTTTACATTTTGATGCTCGATTAGCACCACCACATGCACTCGACATTTTATAACTTAGAATACAGAATTTATAAAATAGAAAGGAGAGGTGAAAATGATAGAAATTAGGAATGAGTGTTATGCAGATAACTTATAGAACCAAAACCGAAATGAGAGATAATTTATAGAATCCGATTTGAATTTATGTAGAAGCAGACAAATTTTATCGTGAACCAGGCACAAAATCTCAAAAACCACTTGAAAAACTTATAAATAAGATGAAGTGAGAGAATGTTGAATTTGGTGTGAAATTTCATTTTTTTGGGTGTGGGGAGGGGGTGGTTAGATTTTTTTTTTTTAAAAAAAAAGAAATCATTTTTTTTAATTGATTAATCGTCGGTTCTGAGTCGGCGTGGCAGTTCAAAACAATCCTAACCGATGGATCTCAACGGGCATAATGATCCTACGAAAAGATTCAAAATTCTAACCGTTGGCAATTTCAGGCGAGCTAGTTCGGATCTGAACCCGGAACCATTTACATTAAAAAAATCGAACCGTTAAATCTCCAATCATAAAAAAGATCCCACTGTCCAGGTTTAATCTTTTGGCTCGTCTGTCAACTATTTCGGGTTGGGCCATAATAATAATAATATAAAAAAAATCAATTTAAAAAAAAAAAAAAATTACCGAGCCTCTAGGGTCAAAATTGGCCCGACCTTGAATAGGAACCGGCGGTGCGCAACAGAATATTTTTGTGAACCTGAACCAGCCTGGGTAAAACCACGGGCTGGTTCCCGAGCCGCGGTCAACGGGCTTGACCGGGCCAATTCGGCCCGTGGCCATATCTAACCAAAGACAAGTCAGCGTCACAGACACCCAATGTGCAAAACCAAAGAGTGGTCGACTAACTCAATTCAACGGACAAGCTACATGGACACAACATATACAATCGGGAAACCAAAGCCATCTAAAATATCAATCACATCAACCGCCACAGTGATGGGTCTCGTCCTGCCTGGCGGCATGTGATGAATCTTTTCGTGAATACACTTGATTTGACTTGTGAAAGTTCAAATTACTTAACGAGTTGGAGCCGATGAAGTTTTTCTTTTTTTTTTTTTTGGTGGAATTTAAATTAAACATTTGAGATGAATTCATTCAAGGGCGAACATTTCATGTTTGCAAACAACTGGAAATTAGTGTTTTTGGTTTATTAAATGAGCGGAACTCAAACTTAAACTCATTCATTAAACAATCATAAGCTTATTGGCTCGTCTCTAATAACACATCTACTTTAAAATTAGGAAACCACTGACAAACTGCATGCACCTAGAGGCCAGATAGAGTCATTTGTAAATCAAATACAAATCACAATAAGGGCCTTCATCAAGATCCGTGCACATTTACAATTGTAGAAGCTATTTGTGTTCTTTCTTTTTTATTTTTTATTTTTTATATTTTTTAAAAGAACGAATATAAAGCTCAAAGGAATGTTTTGTGATAAAACACTTTCCTGATTATCAGAACGCAGCTTGGTGTTACATATGAATCATTGCAAATTACAATCTGAAAGCAGCTCATTGACTCTCTTTCATTGCGGGAGTACAAAAGAAAAACATATTAGAGTAGAATTATGGCTTCTGTCACAACTGTATAGTGTGCACAAGATTGTAAGTTTCAAGAGATCCTCGTCTTTCGTTATCAAGATACACAACAAACAGTTGAAAACGTCCACAAATTAGTATCATTTGTGCGTAACAATCAATATTCCAATTTCATATGACTGTATAAACACACACCCCAAGTTTCAGCTCAAGGAGAAAACTTGCAAGTATAAGCCAACCTGAGTGTGAGACAACAATAAACAATTTGACAAAAAAAATTGCGTACTTGGGTAAATTGCACTGTTTTGGATGGTCCGGCATCTTATAACTACAGAGCGCATCAAAGTAACATGCACTGTATGATCATCAAAATCCTACTCTTTTTCATTTTCTTTTCTTTGGTGTCAATTGTTGCCGCCAATAGGATTGCCACTTCTCATCATTGCTACAAACTCATCATAATTTATCTTTCCGTCCTGCCAATTAATACAACACCACATTATAGCAAAACAAAGCGTTATATGGTACTCTCCAAAACATTAACTATCATGACCAATCTTGTCTTAACAAAGGGTCTCTTTCTAGTTTTCTTGTTTAATATTTCAAACAAAAGAAAAGAAGATACACGAAATAATATTATTAAATTAACTTCATCTTCAAATATCGGCAGATAAAAAAGAATGAGTCGATACAAAATCACCGATAGTTGAAAAGCTGAAAGCTCTAACAGCATTTATTTGGCCACAGAGAACTGTAACAACCATGTGACAATTATAGAGATGAACCAATGAAATTTTATAACTTCAAATAACAAAGATTAATCTTAAAATGAAATGTCAGGGCATCCATTGTAGAATCATAAGATAAACTAAAGATGCATTACACCAAAGGAATGATGATGAAGAAAGGGAAAGAGGCAGTACATGATCAGTGTCTACTTCAGTAAGGATCGCCTGTAATGTTTTGGCATCACCCATGTTGTATTCCTTTAACGCAAGCTCCAATTCTTCTATGGTGATGTACCTAATCAAAAGGAAAAGATCAGATATTCAAAAAGACTCCAAAAAGTTTTCCTGAAACATGTACAAAATGAAATTTTACCCGCTCCAGTCCCTGTCAAAATATTTAAATGCTTTATATAGACGGTCTTCCCTTTCCATTCGGTTCAGGTGCATTGTTGCCGTTATAAATTCAATGTAATCAATTGTTCCATTTCCATCCACATCAGCCTGATATAGGGAGCCAATGACAATCTCAAGTCACAGTAGAGGTAAAATCTATAATTTAACCATGATAATCAATTGTATATTCAAAAACCATATTGTAGGATCATGCCAATAAGAATAAAAGGTGCATACTCAACTAAAATATTCTCCTTGTACATATTTAATCTTTAGCTTCAACTTGCAAATTTGACATAAAGAAGATAGTAGATGTTACCGCTTCCATTAGCTGCTTAACTTCTGATTCCGAGAGTCTCGTGCCCAGCTTTAGAAGACCAGCTTTCAATTCCTCAAAAGTGATAGTCCCACTGTTATCTGTGTCAATGGACTTAAACATTTCCTTCAAACCTATGATTTCTTCTTCAGATAGGTTTTCTGCAATCACCTGACAACAAAATAAAATTTTCCACATTGCATCAGAAGCAGGATACTCGAATTCAGGCATTACAATTCTGAGTATCTCACCTTTAGAGCAACTTTCTTGAGCTTGTTCATTTCTTGAAATTTTTTCATTCTAGTCAAGACAGCAATGTCAAGAGGCTCATCAGATGCATCCCCATCTTCTCTCATCCAAGGATGGTCTGCACGTAATTTTCGTTTTGTTGTTTTATATGCTGATGACTACTTAAACATGTTTTTAATGAGATGACAAAAAAAGGAACAACGAATAAATGAATAATAAGTAGGATAGTTTTACCAGTGAAAATGATTATACTGGAAAATTACTTCAATTTCATGTTAGGGACAATTAGAACCAGCCATAACGTTTCAGGTACTTAAAAGGAATTCCAAGATAAGTTTCAAGAAATCACAAAAACTGAAAAATCCTTGAAAGCTTGTTTTTTCCTACACAATCCCCCTTCAAAGAATCATCAGCAAAAAACATTTGAGTCTCCCCCAATCCCAAACAATACATTTAATAAGACTGGCACAGTTACATTCATATTACAGATACCCTTAGTGCTAAGACTTGAGACATAATTGAAAGATCAATTTTTAGTGTGTTCTTTTATCATTTTTAACTTTTAATTCTGGAAACTTCTCTAGGTATCTTTGAAACCACCTCAAGCCTCAGATGGTTTCTGCAATTACTAAGTCACGTTATGTCTGAAATAAAAATGACTCCAAAATATAAGCAGTCTGAAGGCTTTAACTTAATGGAGAACACAATATCCGCATGTTGTATGGTCATATATGTTTCCATTTCCTGCAAAAGAATCTTGTAGACATTCTGATGTAATGATGGATGGAAACTTACTCAAGACTTCAACTGCAGTAAGCCGATGATTAGGGTCAGACTGTAGCATCTTCTTCAGAAGATCTTTTGCACTATTTGATATTGAAGGCCATGGATCCGAATTAAAATTGAGATGTCCGCACATAACAGCATCAAATATAGCCTGATTACTCTCTAGCAAAAGAAAAATAAAAATAAAAAATACTTCATGTTTATCAGAGTTCGGTCAACAATGAGTTCACTAAATGAATCACCTCCTATTCATTAACCAGGCGCCTCACAGTCACTGTCATGTATATCTTTGGATATTCTTACTTCAAAGAGCAAAATTTTATTGATTTACACAAAGTGTGCAGAATACACTAAGACATAGAGTCCTTTTCTATATTCTTTCACCTCACCTCCCGAGAAGGGCGGGACACCACTTAGCAGGATATAAAGAATCACACCAGCACTCCAAATATCAGCTTCGGCACCATAATTTTGGCGTAAAACTTCAGGAGCCACATAGTATGCACTGCCGACAATATCCTGGAATACATCACCTGCAATTCTATATCAGTCATGCTAAAGTAACTAAATAGACCTATAACTTTGCACTCTCCCTTTTTGTATGCTCTGAAGGCCAATAGCAGAAAGGCACATGAGTCTCCTAAGCATGTCTGGTAGGTCGAGTCTTTACATTATTTTTGCATTCATAGAAATTTCATGATCTCGTACAAACTTTTACTATTTTAAAGTAATCTATACTAACAATAGATGCCTATTGTCATCGTACACTGAAACCAACATACATGGATGATAACCCAGCCAAAGTTATAAACTTTCTCCATTATAATCGCTCCTGCTTTATATCAACCAAGACTTTTTGCACATTCAACAAATTAGTATTTATGTTTTATTTCTCCCCCTTTTCAAGTCTATAAACAATAAAAACCACTAATTATATGTTATCCAATTCCTCACCATAATCCCCTAATCGCAAGAATTTAAGGTAATTTATGCGCCACTGTTCCTAATTTCTTCATTTTCAACCTTGAACCTCCCAAATTTCAGTAATTTCCCCCTTTCAACTGATCCCACAAAATCAATAAAAATAACTAAATCAAAACCTCAAGCCCTCTCACCGGGTTTAAAAAACGTAGACAGCCCAAAATCAGTAGCCTTGAGCGGTGAATCCTCATCGGAGGAGGAAAAGAGGAAATTCTCCGGCTTCAAATCCCTGTGCATAACCCCCAAGGAGTGACAGGCATGGACCACGGTCACAATCTGCCGGCACAGCCCAGCTGCCGCCCGCTCCGAGTAGTGCCCCTTCGCGATTATCCGATCGAACAACTCGCCTCCGGCGCACAAATCCATCACCAAGTGCACGTAGTGGCGGTCCTCGAAGACCTCCCTCAGCTCCACGATGTTCCGGTGGCCCGTCAGGTGATGCATGATCTGCACCTCGCGGCGGACGTCCTCCGCGTCTTCGGGGTTGAGGAGCTTCCGCTTGGCGATGGACTTGCACGCGAACGCCCGGCGCGTGGCGCGGTGAGTGGCGAGGTGGGTGACGCCGAACTGGCCGCGGCCGAGCTCCCTGCCGAAAACGTAGGAGGAGCGGACATCGGACGTGGGGCGGCCGAGGATGAGGGGAGGAGGGGGAGCATCGGCGGCTGCGTTGGGCTGAAGGGGCGGCGGGGTAGGGACGGTGGGGGTGGACGGATATCGGCTACTGTAATTACCCATTTTGGGTTTTGGAGTTGGATTTTTACGTTTATGACTGAAGTCAAAACGATTTGGGAAATAAAGTTGAAATTTAAGACATATTTTGGGTTTTGGAGTTGGATTTACGTTTACGACTGTGAAGTCAAAACGATTTGGGAAATGAAGTATTAACGGAGGTGCTGGGTAAGAATGGACTTTATATATTTNGAATGGACTTTTAATCAATAATCATTCAATACCAGCTAAGAAAAAAATTGTAAAAATTGTAAAAATGGTGAATGCGTTTGCCGGGAGTCGAACCCGGGTCTATTGCTTGGAAGGCAATTATCCTAACCGTTGGACTACAAACGCTTTTCTTTGTAACGTCGTATGTTTCTATTAATCACTATTTAGGACTAAAAAATTAACATATATAAAAAAAAGATTTACTAATAAAAGATGGAAACATATAATACATACCTTATTTGAAAACTTTTTAAATGCATGCATTACTTGCTTGTATATACACGTTTTTTCGTCAAATCAAACCGGATATAATCAAGCATATTCTTTCTTGAATAAATTTATTAACATCTGCAATAATTTCATTGATATTTATTATAGTAAATTACAAATTAAATTTTTATGATTCATATTGATAATATTTTAGTTAAAATAAACACGAAAATAAATTTTAAGGTTTAACCGTAATATTTTTTTTTTATAAATATTGACTTTTCATTCTAAATTATTGACTTTTTTTAGCCGATGCACTCGATGATAATAGTCATCCAATATTAATTTTAGACTAGCAAAAAGTAAGACTGCGATCAGGGGCGGAGCCACCCATGTCCCAAAAAAAAAAAAATTCTTTTGTTATTCTTAATTTTTAAAAAATTTTATACATCAATCCTATTAGGCCCATGTAATTTTTTATGTAGCCCCTTTTAATTTTGGGCTGGATGGCTTAAAACTCAGATCGGAATTTTTCATATGACAACAATGGAGGAAAAGTGATAATTGTAGTGAGAGGAAAAAAAAGATAATCATTTATTGTTAGATGACAATTGTGTCCTTATTAGATTTTTATTAATTGGATTTATAATGTAGCCCAACCCATTCTTGCCTTTTAATTTTGTTAATGGGTTGGCTTGACAAATACCAAATGAGCTAGATAATTAAGCTTGACACACACTTCTCTTGCGGGCTATTTAATTGTGTTTCTCTCATTGCACAGTCCGTTATCCATTTTCATTTATTATTTTTTTTGTTGATCGCCTCCAATAATTAATTCGGCCTCAATTCCTTGACAAATAAATTAAAAAACTCTTACAGAGTTGAGTGCAAACATGCTCGACTCTATTTGTTTGATCGACAAGTTCGATTAGCTATTTGGGTTTGGCTTGTTTAAATATATAAGCAAGTCGAGATTGAATTTTTCCAATTCAAATTGACATATGTTAACAGATAATTTGTTCTAGTCATGATCATCAAAACTGGTTACGGGTCCCTGGGCCGAGAGTTGGAGGACCCTGAACCGGCGAGGACATATGCACAGGCCAGTTCATTGAATTGTCGGTTCTTGGTCGTCCGATTCACTAAAAAAATAAAAATAATTAAAAAATAATATATATTTTTTTTTAAAAAGTCGAACCTCGGGTTCCGATTCAAGTTCAGAACCAAAACTGTCAGTTCAAAATGTATAAACTATAAAGTATTGTACATGAACCAAACTGGTCAAAACCACAGACCGGTTGAAGACCCATGGTCAACAGGTCGGTGTGTCGGTTCGGCCCGAACCGACAGGCTGGGTCGACCCATGACCATGTTTACTCGGTTCCAATAATAGCTACAACAATATGCAGCCCCGGGTAAAAAAAATTTCTGACTACGCCCCTGACTGTAATTGAGTTTTTCTTTCAATAATATGTGGGACTAAATTTTCCATTTAACCCATACAAATGCAACGGAAACATATCCCCAATTAATTCACTTGATGATTGTCAGAATGTGTTGTGAAGTACCTGAAAGATGAAGGATCAGAATATGCAGTGTTTATGAAGACTGTCATGGATGACTTTCGACACGAGCCAGCGTACAGAAAATGCCGGTCTACAATGAATTCGTCTGCCATTTTTTATACTACGGTACTAAATTAATGTCATATGGACAAAAATATGTTTTCTGGAGTAATTTGCACCGAAATGGCATTAACATATATATTTTATTTGTTTCTCAATCTGGGTTTTCAGGCCAGCGCAGCTAATGGGAACCATCCCATGGCAGATTTAAGCACTTATCTTTCCCATGGTCACAATATGTAGAAGTTGGTACAGTCCTCAGATATTGCACATATGAAGTAATGGCACTTCATGGTGTACTAAACTCGGAAATTCAGGTTCATCGACTCATCGTATATTCTTCGGTTTTCATAAAAACTTGGAAAGCACAAAAAAACAAAGAAAAAAAAATTAAATGAAAAGAAAAATGATAATAACATCAAGGATATAAATTGCACAGTTTCACAACATAGCGCGGGAGTTGCATTTTAAGACGATGAATTTAAACTTACAAGTTGCAAAAGTCTAATCGAACTTATGAAGGAGCGTGTTCCAGCTAAAAAGTTTGACTTCAAGTGAAAATCAACAACAAAAATCAGGTCAAGAAATTTTTGGGTGCCACACAGACACTGAGGAAGCAAGAAGAATGGTAAAAAGCCGGAAAACAATTGAGCTCAACAAAAACCTTCCTGCCTAAAATGCAAAACCGAGTACACATAACAATGTGTTTGAATGTTCTTCTTTTTTCTCCTTCAGGCCCCACACAACCTAAGACTCGCATTCAGAAAAGAGATCCAAGACACAACAGACATGGCCTCAGAGCTAATCCGTTGTCTAGGGAAAGACATATAACATGGAACTAACCCTCAAATCCAGCCTCCTCAAAAATGGGGTCCACAGCTCAGCAGAAAAACTTCAACAAGCTATGGACACACGCTCGTATCTCTTCACAACCACTCCCGAGTCGGATTGTTGAACACAATACACACTCTCTGTCCCAACCACAGTTAGAGGATGATTATCTATCGTGAGATGACCAGACAGCAATTTAGAAGGCTGTGGTCTTGGCCATCAGTGGAAGACCATGCTTTGGTGGTTCTTGTTCGAGATTCGTTCACAGAATACGGGCCCTAGAGAGCACGGGTTATTTGTCCCTTGCGTCTTTTACGTCTTTGCTTGTTGAGTTTGTGGCCCGGCTTGACCTCTTAGTTGAAGCAGTGGATGAGCTCTCAGGAATGGCTAAATTCAAACAAGAAGCTGCATAAACTATGATTACCCAATTGCTGCTTGGAGGGCATGAGTGGGCTATATGTGATATTTCATAAATTAGTTTTAAAATGGGTGGGGGCTCTGTTTATTGTTTAGTTTTACTTTTTGTTTCCCACATCATCATCGATTCAGTCATTCAGATGTTGCCACAAGACAAGAGACAAACAAAAAGTCTTGTATTACTTCCTTTCAGACTAGTCTGTAGACAATTTGTCATGACACAATCGAAAAGAGAGGTACAACATTACAACAAAAGCTTCAGCGAACATTTATTTATTTTACAACTGAAACATCAGTCTCAATACCAACACACAACAACAAAAGCTTCAGTGAACATTTATTTATTTTACAACTGAAACATCAGTCTCAATACCAACACGGTCCACATAAATCAACTGAAACAAACACAAATATTTACATGAAAAACACAGCACTGATAACACAGAAGCATTTCAAACCACCCGATTGGGCCAAACACGCATATGTTACAACTGTACCAAAGAAATCATACGCATCTTATATTCGACTCACTTATAGCACAAGACGACACAGATCTAAATTCAATAATGATAATATAATAATAATAAAAAATACACACCTTATAACACAGCACTCCTGGGTAAACTCCAAAAGCACCAAAGATATCCGCTTCACATCCAGGTCCGATGCGTCATTACAGACTCCCCAGGCCCAGATGGGCCTGCTATGCCTTTGTTGGAGCCGCTAAAGCCGAAACCATGATTCCTAGTAATCATCGCCATCAGATTCCCTCCATGCACCCTTCCCTCCGGTACCTTACCCGTCGACACACTGTTGCTTCCAACAGGGAGACTAGCCGCCTGCTTGGAACCAAATTCAGCATAAGCCACACCCTCACCCACAAACACACAATTCCCATCGACCTTAGAACCCTGAGAGCCAGCCCCCACAGTCGCCCCACCGTGAACCCTCCTGTCCTGCACAAGTACCCCATGGGATACACAGAGCCCCGTTCGACCCCTCGCAAAGGCGCCACATGGCACATCCCCCACCCCATTCTCACAACCCGCGTGGCCCCATGTGCACCGCCTCCCGCCGCCGTGCGCTTTACAGAAGTCAGTGCTGCCTTGGGCGCTCTTCCCACACCCCTCACGGCTGCACCTCTTTCCCCCGCCGTGACGCACGCAGAAGTCAGTCCTCCCGCGCGCACTCTTAGTGCACCCGGGGGCCGCNCCCACAGCCCTGGTGCTGGCACCGGCGGCCCCCGCCGTGGGAGATGCAGAGGCCAGACAGGCCCTCGGCGCTCCTCGCGCAGCCCTCCGTCCGGCACCGCTTGCCGCCGCCGTGGCGGATGCAGAGCCCGGATTTCCCCCGGGCGGCCTTGGTGCACCCCTCGTGGCCGCACCGCCGACCCCCGCCGTGGGCGATGCAGAAGTCGGTGCGCCCCTCCGCGCTCTTGGTGCACCCCAGGAACTCGCACCGCCGGCCGCCGCCGTGGGCCTTGCAGAAGGCCGTCCGGCCCTCGGCCCCCTTGCCGCAGTCGGGCCGCTGGCACCTGCGGCCCCCGCCGTGGGCGATGCAGAAGCCCGACGCCCCTCTCGCCCCCTTGGAGCAGCCCTGGTACTGACATAGTTTGGTGCTGGTGCCACGCGCCTGCCGTGACTGAGTAGTTAGTATCCCGGAAGTACAGGTGACTGAGCTGTTCGGTGTTGTTACTACACTCGATGAGAGGCCCGCTGATATCTGGCTCGTTTTCCCAAAGCCGGTGTACGTGTTCGTGATGGTGCTTGGAGTGCTTGGACTCGGGTGGAGGAGCGTGATATCGGAAACAGCGGGCCCGCTCGAGAGGCATAATTGGAGATCGACCACAGGAGACGGATCAGGCGATTTTAAATCCCAGCTGGCGGGCTTCTCCAGAACAGATGACTTGTTATCGCCACCGAGGTGGAGAGAGAAGTCCAGCTCAATGTCCATAGATGACTCCTCTTCGGTTTCCTTGGACATCGAGGTGCACGCGGTTCCTGTGCTGCCCTTGCTTTCAGAGGAACTCGAGGAGTGACCAAGGCGGAGATTCAGTGAGGACTCGAAAAGATGGTTCGAAGGGCCACCTGTGGCGCCCCACTTGCGTTTGACTCCCTTTGGGGCGGGAGTGAAGGGGCTTGGGAAACCAGGCGAATCAAGCCGTAGGGTTGTGTCGGCACAGTACATGGCATCCGCTCCACTTCCTCCTGTTTGTATGGAATTGCACAGATTCTTGAATGCGTTTGGCTGTGGGTTAGTGGCAAATCCCAAGTTGTGAAATCTGGCATCCATGCCCAAGAACCTAAGGTTTAACACTCTTATTCAAACCGAAACTCAGTTGTAGGTAAAGTACAGTCGGCCTGTCTTCCGGGTTTATATAAATTATTTACAGAACTACGGTTAGATGTCTCGGAAAGGGTACATCCCACCCCCGCTTACGAATCCAGAGGTATCACAGCGGTCCATTGTCTGAAAAGGAGTCCTAAAATTATCCTAATTACGAAAAGTAATGCAGGTTGAATTTCATATGTGACATGACCGTCAAGTTTGCCTGTACATGCAGAAGCATGTCATCATGTGACAGGAAGGATTCGCCTAAAGGCCGCCAGCAACTGCAATAAAGAGTAACGGTTGGTACAACTTTGGAACTCTATTATGCAAACTAAACTACACCTATGGATTGTAACCATTATGGGGTATAATGCACAGGTGCAAGTTCATTTGCTTTTATGACAGTACGCAATCAAACGTTGCATGGAATGCAGTGACAAACATGTATTTAGTTATGAAGCAAAAACTGTTGATGTTTACAAAAAAGACTATTCAGGTGCATAGATTAAAAGACACGATTGTCTTCAGGCCAATACTACAAAACCATTAATTATAACTAACAAAGATAAGTTTCCAATTAGATTCAAAGCACAAGAGATATTCCATATACGAGAATATGTAACTTACCACACAAGTTGGCGATTTAGCAGCAGATCAACTTGATATACATATTACTTATTAACATTTAAATATTAAGTTGCCTTATATTGACTCACATTTTTCAAAACACATCAATCTTCAACAGATCAAAACAGAATCATACATATGAAAAAAACAAGAATAAGGTTTATGGAAAGCTACGAAGTTTATTTTAGGCAAATGAACAAATGAATTCAAAGACATGACAACAAACAATCGTCTTGAATATCATGAACATTAACTGGTAATCTTGCCTTCTGTGTAACAGAAGTCTATCAATGTGTCCATTCCACGTCGTAAAAAAATCTCAGAGAATTGTCTTTTATTAAGAATTCGATGCATGCTTAAATACATATAATCAACCATGATAAGCATATTAATACATCTAGTCATTGGATAAACAAATAATATATAAACTGTAAAACTGCCAAGTATTGAATTGTTTGAAATTCAAAGCATGACAATTTAAACATTGGCACTAACTAAGGTTAGACAAAACAACAAGATCAAGTTCTCAACATATGCAAATATGCTTTAGTGGATCCAGCAGCCATCTACTAGAATCTTACCTTATCAGAGAAATGCTTGTATGACTTGACTACCAATCACAGATCTCAAGCAACCACGAATCTACGGCCACACTGTATCCTGCCAAATTATATTTTGAATACGAAACGTATGATGTTGATCAGGAGTCGGCAACAGTTGGAAACTTAAGGAAAGAACAAATAAAAAACATACAGCTTTGCTTCTGTTAGCTTCATCTTTCCAAAATCAATTAGAAGAGACCTCAACCAGCTTCTTCTGAAGCTAACTTGATAAAGTAAACCATACATATTTTTAATTATTCAATCTTTACATTTGGCAAATATCAAATTTTTAACTAGTTTAGCTGATCTCTTTTCCAAAGATCTAAGATCAAAAAATGATTAGAAGACAATTGGTGAAAATAATCCATCACACAACAGATAGGCAACCTTTTAAATTCACAAAGGCAACTGAAAATACGCACACCACGCTGATTAAATAAATAAATAAAACACTGTGGGCTTTATATATTTGGGAATAGTATATCAGGAAAAGAATTTTAAAAGAACAAACAATACTAATCACAAATCTTCCGTCTTTCGTGCTAAATCCACAATGACTCATATATATATACACATAGCTCAAATACAACTAGTTAAAAACAATAATCAATCAAAATTCAGAACACGATAAACGGAATTCCTTTCGAAATTGGAACTTCAACAACAGAATCGCTATTAACAATCAATAAATCGAGAAGATAAATGCTCACCTCTTGGATTTCCACCAGTAGTTCATCCCGGCAATGAAGGCTCTCAAATCGATGTGGGTGAAGGATTTAATTCAACAATTTAGAGAGCTTATGAACGGCGAGATGGATAGAGAATTAGGGCTTCGCGAGCGCCGGCAAGATGCAAAATAGGACAGATAGTGCAATATATTTGTTTATTTTTTTTGTTTTTTCAAGCAAGTGCACGGATATATATATGTGAACAGTGAAAGGAAATGGGGAAAAAAATCTAGGGAGTAAAAATAGAAAATGTTTTTAGATCGTCCAATCGGGAACTGACAAAAGGCGTGCAGGTTTACAAGTAAGCGGCGCACGTTAAGGCAGGATGATTAAGCAATAATGCTGTTTATTAGGCCCTTAAAAAAATACTGTTTCGCCAATCTCGGGTAATTCCTTTGCTATAGAACTCATTACAGGGTAATTTATTTAAAAAAAAACGAAAAATAAGTGGACAAAAAAGAAAAAAAAAAAAGTGGGTAGCCCAAAATAGAAAGCCCGTATTTAGCAAATACGTTTTTTTAATTTTTTTTTTAATGAAAAACGTATTTAGCAAATACGTCCTTAAATTAAACTTGTTTACTTTTTTAGAAAACATATTGCCGAAAATGTATATATACAATTTAATTTAAGGACGTATTTCTGAAATACGTTTTCGAAAAAACCCCAAATTTAAATTGGAAACCCTAAAGCCTAAATAAATCAATTTTTGTTTTATAAAAAAAATCAATTTTCGTTTTATAAAACGTATTTCATAAATACGGTTCTAAATATTAATTAATTTTTAACAAATTAAATTAAGGTAAAACGTATAGCAGAAATACGTTTTTCAAGAAAATGAAAAATATAAAACGTATACAAGAAATACGTTGTTCATTAAAAAAATATATAAAACGTATACAAAGAATACGTTTTTTAAGAAAATAAAAATAGAAAATGTATTCGCAGAATACGGTTTTTAACAAAATATAAGTAAAAAAATCGGGTCTCCTCTACCAGAAACTGCGGAACTGAAGCTGCGAGCGAAAGGAAAAAAAAAATTCACTTCCTTCCATCCATTATTCACCTCAAAATAAAAAAAAAAAAAAGCTTTTAACAATCAATCGATTCGGAAAAGAGGTTAGTTGTTATTTTAATGTAATGTAATTACATATTTGTTTTATATGTTTATGAATTTTGTAAGAAATATTTGTTGGTTTTGATGAGTATAGTTTAGAAAAGATTTATTGTTGATTTAATAGTTGTCTTAAATGATTATACATTGTTCTTGGATGATGGGATTCGTTGTATGTTGAGAATTTTTGCGAAAATTGGATAATTTGTATTGTATAGTTTGATTTTGAGAATTAGGGTTTTGGAGAGTTATTTTATAAAAAAATTGGTGATTTTTTTTTGTTATTGTAGTATTAATTGAAAATATTTATCTTGATTTGAGTAAAAGAATAATTGAATTTTTTGGGAAATTATGTGTTGTTGTAATTGGGAAGAATT